CTGAGCAAGCATTATTTGGAATGAATGGCAGTTTGTGAAGTCCTGTCATGTGTAGTACATAAGATACTTATATTTTACTCCCCTAGGTTGGGAAGTTTCCATAAATATACAATGGAAACCATATAGGTCTCCCACAACAGTCTGAACTATAGGGGCAATTACAAATTGAATAATTTGATCGGGAATAGGCTGAACCATATTTCTAGGCATATTGAAAGTAGATGTATCTATTTCTTTTTTTTCCTGGATGAGATAAAGTGGAGCATTTAAATTATCAAATAAACTATGTCCATTTCTTTCTATAGCTTTTCATGGGCTTGCTGCAAAACTGTAAGAATCACAGTTCTTGGGCTTGCCTAAATTGCTATTTACTGCATTTTCCCCAAGCGCTCCTGGATGCCTTTGTTGATGTCTATTTTCTTAAGTTGCTGTAGTTTGCTGCTGAAGTAATTCCCAGAATAATTTCAGGGAGGAATAGCAAAAGATGATGGATGTTTCTGGCATTAACTTTCACCAGTCATTTAGTGGTTACTGAACTGCATGCAGTAATGATAGAGAAAGCCTACGGTTTCCTATTAAGTGCATTTAAAACTAAAAACAATTTGGAAGACAGTAATAGCTTGTGATACTGCTGTGCAGAAACTGCTGTGAAATGAATACTGGACACATCCAGGGTAGATATGCATTTTTTGCCACAAGCAAGATGAACTAGCACAGCAACAGGACTAATGCAAATTAATACCTTACATTAATAAACCATCTGTTTTGCATTCAAACTCAGTCAAATTTGCTGATGAATTACAAGTCAGTGATTTTATACTAGATTCTTTTAAATTGGCTTGCTGAAAAATGGTAAATTTGAGATCTGTTAGCTTCACAAGTGGGCTATGCAGTGCATTAAACCATGATTTAAGTTATGATTTACTGAACAAATCATAACTGTGTCATTTGTAAATTAAGCTAAACAAAACCAAAACTAATCAGAGGCTTATAACAAGCACTTGCTGTTTATATTTGTTATTTTTGGAAAATTTGTATTTTATATGCTTTGGTTATATTATAAAGTATTTTATTAATCTCTTATAATTTATTTCAGCCACTTTATGAATAGTGTGCGCAATGGGTCAATAGTTAAGAGCTGCGGTGGCGCAGTGGTTAGAATGCAGGCTACTTTTGCAGGCTACTTCTGCTGACTGCCGGCTGACTGCAATTTGGCAGTTCGAATCCCACCAGGCTCAAGATTGTCCCAGCCTCCCATCCTTCCGAGGTGGGTAAAATGAGGACCCAGATTGTTGGGGGCAATAGGCTGACTCTGTAAACCACTCAGAGGGGGCTGTAAAGCTCTGTGAAGCAGTACATAAGTCTAAGTGCTATTGCTATTAAAGATACTGAGTTTATCAGTTGGAGTGCTGATAGCTCAGGTTTGAGACCCAAGCGCCGTGCAATGGGGTGAGTTCCCATTCCTTCCCCCGTTCCTGCCCACCAAGCAGTTTGGAAGCAATGCAAGTAGATTAATAGGTATCACTTCGGTAGGAAGGTAACAGCATTCCATGCACTTTTCATGTATAGTCATGCTGGCCACAGAAAATGTCTTCAGACAACGCTGGCTCCCTTGGCCAAAAAACGGAGATGAGCACCATGACCTAGACTTGAACACAACTGACAGGGAAACCTTTTACTTTACTTTAAAAATATGCATATCTTAAAACTCATATAATTTTGATTATATTTTAATGTATTTTATTAATCTTGTTATAACATATAGGTAGTCCTTGACTTACAACAGTTTGTTTACTAACCATTTAGTTACAACAACACTGAAAAAAGTGACTTAAAACCATTTTTCACACTTACAACTACTGCAGCATCCCCATGGTTGTGTGATCAAAATTTGGACGCTTGGCAACTGATTCATATATATGACAGTTGCAGTGTCCTGGGATCATGTGATCATCTTTTGCGACCTTCTGACAAGTAAGGTAAATGGGGAAGCCAGATTCACTTAACAACCATGTTAACAACTGTAGTGATTTACTTAACAATTGTGGCCAGAAGGATCATAAAATGGGGCAAAGCTCGTTTAACAAATGTCTAGCTTAGCAACAGAAATTTTGGGCTCAGTTGTGGCCATAAGTCTTTACTTAGGACTATCTTTACTTCATTAGCTGAGTTAAGAACATGCATGGGGAAACCTATAGTACTCATGGATAAGAAAGCCCAATTTGGTGTGGGGTGTTTTAGCACATGAAATTCTTAGTTTATCACATGTATGCTGAATATATATGTAAATGAACTGCAAATTTAACAAATTAAAAACAATGCAAATCAGAAAAATCAGAAGTGGACATTCGGTCAATGGAATCCTTTGCTTGTTATAACAACAGGCCCTGACTGTCACCTCTTACTGTATTTGCTTTCGATAAAATGGCATAAATGTATAAGGGTTGAATAAAGGAAACAGCTTCTAAGTTCATGATCAGTCCTTCAGTAAATAAACATAATTTTAAGAAGAGTTCCAGGGAAAAGCAAGCTCTTCTCCTGTAGAATATTTCTACACTAAGCACAAAAAAGATAGTTGAAGATTTCATGCTCAACAGATAGTATGACATACCTCCTTGTTTAAATCTGCCAAAACCAGAAGTAAAATACTAACATAATAACTAGATTCACACATTCCAATATGTTATATTATTATTTATTAAATTTGTTTGCCACCTATCTCATTGCAAGTTGGCTTCGTTGTGGATTTTAGGTGAATCCAGTCATTACTGTCTAATCTGTGGTTATAACCATAGAAGCCAGAAATGTGTTTCAAAATGAAATCAATATTGAGGATTTTAAAACCTGAGGATAACTTGTGTTAAAAATATAAAACTTTTAAAGTTTTTTTCAAAGAAAAATGAAATAATGACTTAAAATAGCAATGTTTTAATCTCTTTTTTCTAACAGCATTTTTTCTCTTCCCATTTCCCTTTTTCAGTTGCTTTTCTATCTGCTAATTTTCAAGCCTATATTAGGTTAAATATAACCTAAAATGTTGGAAATACACCTTGATGGGGAAGCACTTATATAGTAAAAGAACGAAGCAAACTTTGCTGTTTCTTGGATCTAAATTTCAACCTACCCACATCAGTTTCTTAAAAAAGAAAAAAAAATTCAAAAAGTTATCAGAATTTGGTTATATGCATGTGATTGTAAATAACACTTTCTAATTTAAAATATAGTTTATTCACATGCCATGAATTCAGGCCGTATTGGGCACAGAAAAAAAGTTCTATTGCCAGCAACTGCAGCATTGAAAAAAACACTGAGTAAATTCAGGAGTTGAATGCTACCGGGTCGGCCCAGTTCTATAGAACAGGTAGCTGCGAAGAACAGCTGACACCGAACCGATTCAGTGTTTGGCCCACCTGCCTGCCCGGGCTCTAGGCTGTCCTTTATTCCCTGCTTTTCCCTCCTCAGCTGCTTTGTGCGGCACAGCTAAGGTTGAAAAAGCAGGAAACAAGAGGATTTTCAAACGCTGCGCACTCTCGCGCAGCGCTTATCAGCTATCCAGGCAGCACAGCTGATGATTTCTTGCAAACGCTACACACACACGTGTTATGATTGTCTGCAGTTCGGAAAACTGGTAAATCGCTCTCCACCGGCTGGCCCCTCTCCTCCCCGCCAACCCACTCCTTACCTGGCATGCGAGCCATCCAACTTGCCTGGTTTGGTAAGTTGCTATTTTTCCTTTTTTTCTCCCTGACCATCAGTTGTTCTGTTCTGCTGGGAGATTTAGATTAGTAGAAAGCAGAAAATCCTTTGATTTCTTGCTTTCTAGCTAATCTAAAAGCAGAGCCAAACCTTCCTTAGGACTGAAGCTTCTACTTTTCAGTGCAGACTCAGGTAGCCGATTGCAAATAGATAGATCTGTGATTCTGTGACCAACTCAATCTGCCTGCCTTCTTTTGGTTAAAAGTTGTTCTTTTTTTAATAAAAAATTCAATATTTACATATATGGTATGTTGTGAGTTAATTTTGTGAGTTCGCTTGCTAGCAAACTTTATGAGTTTGCTTGCAAGCAAATTTTATGTGACAGACTCAGGTAGCCGATTGCAGATGGATAGATGAATCTGTGATTCTGTGAGCAACTCAATTTGTCTGCCTGCTTTTGGTTAAAAGTTGCTCTTTTTATAAAAAAATCAATATTTACATAAATATTTATAATATTTACATACAAGCCAGGCCCACCCAGTCGCACGACACCAAGCAATGCCCAGTCAGCAAGCCACGCCCACCCAGTCACATGACCACCAAGCCATACCCACAAATTAGGCCACATCCATAGAACCGGTTGTTAAGAAATTTGAATCCCACCCCTGAGTAAATGTTAAAAGTTTCTAATCAATTCAAATATATCCCTATAATGCAGACAGAAACAGGTATTTTTCAAGAAGCAGTCTTTTTAAAGTATTTATATAACCTGACCATGGCACAGATAGCATGCCTCGTTTTGCTATTCACAGACTAAATTTATTTTTAAGACAATCACTCCTACGATATGTGTAATAACTAAAAAGAATGATTCTCAGGCCTAAGAATTTTATCTGTAAGCAAATATATGAATTATTTAGGGTACAAATTTTCATTTAAAAAAAAAACCAGTCACAATTCTACTATCAATATCAGATTTCTCTTAAAACCAAACCAAACTACATAGTCATGCTAGTGGCATCCCACAAGCCAGAAATGAGCTAATGAACAAAATCTCTAATAGCTGGGAAAGAAGTTTCCATGCCCTGTATAGTTCTTGTTCCTTTCCATAACAGGAAGAAGAGAACTTAAACTAGAAGGATAGCATGCAACTATCTTAATTCATGTAGTTCCTGGCACCTTCTCCCAACCAAATTCTGTTCTAGTAGCAGCCACTGCTTCCATCACAATAAAAAAGAAACAGAGTCTGGCAGGAAAGCTAGATATGTATTTGAATGGATGGTGTGCGTTTTACAGATACTCACCGTTCCAATTGTAGTTCCTCATCGTAGGTTGGTGGATTGGATCCTGGCCGTGTGTTGGTCAGAGCTTCCCAGATGGTAACCTAATAAATGGAATGAAGAAATAAAAGTAAAAAACAGTCAACAGGTATCATCCAGTAGTAGACAGCAATTGGAAACTTTTGGGGTAATTAATTAATCAATTAACTAATTGATCCCATGACTTATTGAATAGTCTGAGATCATTTTTAGCTTTAGGTCTCCCCCATACCTGATCCCTAATAAGCAATACAAAGTACCAGTAATACTATATTTAATCCCCCAGTGCTATATCTAAACTTGTTCACAAAGAATAATCTCCAGTGACAATACCTGGGGGTTTATTTGCTATGTTGTCCTCCTATTTTTGTCTCGTACCACACAACCTTCTTAGACCACAGACCCTGTTTTGAAGAACCAGTTAAACATGCTTTTCTGCTAATTGAATACAAAGCCTTTCCCACCACAGTCCAGTTGCTGCCCTCACAATCACCTGATCTGTCTCTGTGCCAGCATCCAGGAGACTCTGTTGAATGGCAAATTGGAGGAGGTCATCATCCTCATCCCTCATGGGCTCCGTACGGCCTGCACCCAGCATTGTGTAGCCTTGGGGCACCTCAAATACAGATGGATCCACTTCACAGGGGAAAGGGTACACTAGGGGCAAGGAGAATAACATAACAGTAACTACAACAGGGATTGGGAAAATAGCATTAGCTATACTACATAAAACCAAAGGCATATCAAGACAGCATCCTGTTTAGACCATCATCAGTTAGAAGCCACAGGGAGACCTACAAATAGGACGTAAGTACAATGCCTCTCTCTGTTTACTGCCTGGAAAGGAAGGCATACAAATATGGAGTCATTAGAGTGACAAGTAGTACCATATCCACTATTAAGTTGTCTATATTGTGTTAAGATTGTCTAAAATTGTGCTCAAATATCATAAGAGTTTGAATGGGTTTAACTATGTCCTGTATTAATTAAACAGACAAACACCTAATCTCTGTCTTACTTCCCCATAACTACAATAAGGTTCTTTTTTGATCAAGCCATATACTTTCCAGAAGTAAAGCAAATACACTAAATCTTCCCAGGTGAACCAAGACATAACAGATTAGCAAAAAGCTGGCATTACTCAATTTTCTCAGAACAATAGAGAGGGAAAGCACAAGACTAAATTAGTGTGAACTATTATTATGCCAGAGTAATAACAACAGCAAAATCTTTAAATGGAAACAACAATTGGAAATTGTTTTACTAGCTCTGCGCATCAATCCTAGATAGGCAAAATAAGATTGTGAAAAGTTTGGGCAAATTCTGTGCAGAATCCTTCTAGATAGCATTTTCTGAGGTGAAAGGGAGAGAATCAAGTGCAAATTCAATATTTACGATTGCTGCTGTTAGGACCAGTATGGATCTCTGCTAGGAATTTTTCCTAGAGTAAGGTAAGTGGATGAAGGAGACGGGTTATGGACAAGAACAGCAGTCTTAAGAGTCATTCTTTTAACTAGTCTTTTCCAGAGCAAGCAATCTTTTAGCAGCTATTCCATGATAAATATATATTTTGATAGTTTTGGGAAGCAACGGTGATGCAATGTTACCACACAAGTGGGCAAAGCAAAGATTTTCAGGAGGTTCCTTTGGGGCTTGGGTTGTATTTTAAACAAATAAAGTTTATTTGGAAGTTTAAACTTAAAAAAAAAGAGAGGAAAGTTCACACTTTTGTTTGATGAAAAATATTGGCATAATTTCTGAGGTGCTATGGGAGTTACAGAAGCAGAGCCTAGGACCCGTCTGGCAGCTTATGGGATGCAGATTGCACAACCTGTTTTATCCTTTCCTCTATTACTTCTTCAAATAATTCAGTATGGACTGTTGGGCATCATCTCTTCCAGCTCCAACAGCTTCTTTCCTCTTTTTCTTTATCCAGTTTTACCAAAGGTTACATCACTGAAGCCATAGAAGCATTGGGTATAATTTTGATTTGGCCTTTGATCTTACCTTTAGTGTTGCTGGCTGCCTCTGCCCCAGCACTTGGTTCCTCGCTGCTGCCAGGGTATTGGGTAGGAGTACAGATCCGCACTGAGCTTAGTGGCTCATCACAGCCACACAAATTACTGAAAGTGATCCGGGCATTGAGCACGTGGAAGAGAGGGATCTCTGAAAATGACAGGGAAAACTTATAGAAAAGGGAAAGAAAAGAATGAAAGGGTGGGAACTATTTATTTTCAGGTCTCTTGCTGAACCCATCAAAACATTATTAATAAGAATATAACAATATAAAAAGAATCCTGATCCTGGACTGGACCAAAAGCCATCTAGAGTAGCCAGCATTCTACTCCTACAATGATTAACTAAATGCTTCTATAGATCAGGTATGTAATAGTGCCTCCCACTTTCTGTTTCTCAGTACCTGGTCTTCAGAAATAAACATCAGCAACCACAGATCTACTGTTACATCCAACTTTGGCATACATCATTCCTGCCATACTCCTGTTCCCTCTCCCACACTTTGTCTTCTAGTTCCACATTACAATGGTTAGCACCATCACTTGCCACTCCCAGTTTCAGCCAGTTTGCTTTGCATCTCTCTCACCGATTTTAACTGGGAAGCCAGGAGGTAACTTGAGGGTGATGAAATCACGTAACTTGGCAAAATGAGCATTGCTGATCGCCATCAGATCAATAATAGGTGTCACCTGCTCCACCAGGGAGAGGGGATGGTCCTCACAGAGCCACAGAGTGGCCTTGAACCTAACAAATAAGGAGCAAGTCAGTTTCTAGAACTTTCCTTTCTTCCATCTTAGCACACCAAAAGGTCTAGCCGTCATGCTCACCCTTATGGATTTTCATTCTCACCCCCCAAAAGCATCAATGCTAGCCTTCGTGTCTTGTGTCTCCCATTGTATATCAATGCTGCACTATCTTTCCCATCTGCACTCACCTCTGAACTTTGCTGGACATCTCAATAGGGCGGCCAATATTACGGGACTCCAAGTTGAAGTTGGGGTCAAAGTATTCCTCAGGGGTGATAGATGTTGGGTTTGTGGGACTGGCTGACTGCAGCACAGGGGCCTGAAAAATAGGAAGCAGGATCTACTCTAAGCAGAGGATTCTAGCAATAATTGTAAATGCCACATAAATACCAAGTCTCACTCCCCACCAGTCCCACCAAACTGGTCCAGCGTAAGTCTCTTGTTGCTGCCCTCCTCCCCTTTAGTTCCTCATGCAGATGCCTCAGCTAGCACCCTTTTCCCTGTGCAGGGAAGGAACCTTGTTACATACCCCATTCTGGGCTGCATGCTGCTGGGCAATTCCTAGGAAGGACTGGAATGGAGTCTTGGAGCCTGTATAGTGAGGAAAGGACACCCAAAAGAGTAAGTCCTATGTTTCTTCTCAAAGAAGCACTTCCGTTACAATTACCTGTTTTTATCAGATGCTTATAATGTTTCTTTAAAATATTTCTGTCCTATCTGTTTGTTACAGCATTCAAGGTGGCATGCAGCATAGAACTTGTGCTTTTGGTATTAAAATAAACATCCTGATATACTAAACACTTGCAGATAAAACAGTTTTAGCAGTAGCAGCAGCCCTTGAAAGATAATAAAATACTACAGAAAATGTCTCTTTTATTTCTACAAAGATGAGCATCTCCCCAAGTGAACACTTTTTAATATTACAGTGCAAGACCTACATAGCACTGAAAATGATATGTGAACTGAGGCTCCTCCAGCATCCAAATATTGGCCTGTCCCCCAGCCCCACTTTCTTTAGACCCTTAGCAGCAGTAGACCACTGTGGAAAGAAACTAAACCAAAAAAGTTTTCATTGGCCTGCCTGGTTTCCAGCTAAGTTGTCCCCTCATCACATCTTAAAACTATTCCATTATGTGGAACAACTATTTGCCTTACTTTGTATTTCCCCATTGAAAAAAGAGAGAAGAGATATAAACATAATTCAAAATAATAATAATTGCATAGTACATAGTCTTTTCCCCATCGCTGTAGAAATGTCATGGGAAAAGCTTCATGTCACAAAATGCTTATGTATGTCCCAGTAATATATCTGATTGTAATTTGCCCTTCTCTTTTACTATAACCCCTACTACTATAGGATATAAGAGCAGACATTCACTACTCACTTGTTATTTTTTTTAATTTTTAAAAAATAAATTTAGAAGCTTCCCTTGAGACCCAAAATGATTCTGAGCTGGTTACACTTAAAACAAGAAAGCAGTAAAGAAAAACTTAAGCATCTGGATAGATTAAGTAACAACCAATCACCCAGGACTCTTCCAACATCCTATCCTAAGGCTCAGAAGAATAGTCAGGTTTTTAACAACTTGTGGAATGACATCAGGTAGGTAGGTAAATAAATCACTGGGGAAGTATAATTCCAGAAAGCAGACACTGTAATAGAGAAGTCAATGCCTCTGACAGATGGCATTGCTTGATCAAGGGTTCCTAAAGTACATCAACCCTACCAGATCTTACCAGATGAGCAAAACAGTAAGTGATCTTCATAAAATGTAGACCTATGCCTTAAAGACTTTTAAGGTGACCAATAATCAATACTGTATCACCTGGGCATTTCAAAGCATGTCCAATAACTGTCTGGAGACCATTTGTAGCTTCCAGGATTTGTTCAAAGGCAGCCCTCTGTACATGGCAATAGCTCAATATTTACCTGGCTTTCCTAAATATATTCTTTCTTTACAGCAACAAGTATCTTATAAAATGTCAAAAGAATTTGTCCCATACTGCCCACTCCTAATATTGGGCAAGACTATTTACTTATCTACCTCACTTTTCCTCCAAGAAGCTAATTTATTTTACACTAATAAGAACCTGGTTGCAAGGACTGCTAAGATAGGGAATAGGACAAGTGATTGCAGCAAAATAAATACTGTACATAATTGTGGATAAACCTATCTGCAGATAAGACAACTCTATGAATTTCAACCAAAATACCATGAAAAATGTGCCACCCGCAGATAAGCTATCCCTCAATTTTTAAACTGCAACCACAGGCAGGAAACTGCAAACTGTTATGTCATTTTTTTTTATAAAACCATGTTATTTTAAGGTTGTGACAGTCTTTAAAAACTGAACTCTGGTCTGTAGAGAAGTCAAAACTAATTTTTTGGGTATATTTTGGAACCTAACGTTCTCAGCTTATCCATGAATATATACTGTATACTTTCTTCAGAGCTGGTTGGTATTTTCCCTAATCATAGAAAGGAATGATGAAGTTTTAGAGTGTTTAAATTACTCGTCTCTTTTTACCGGTAAAATCATTTTGGTATTCTGGAAGCCCAGCAACAAGGAAGGAAAAGCTTCCACAATTTGCAAGAATGGATCTGTTTTTCAACATGCATTCAGTGCAAAAACAGTTTTTGTCTCATTAAAAAAGTATTTTTAAAAATCTTTTAATAGTGCTATCCTGTGTTATCTAAATGTATAAGAGTAAGGCATATTGATAAATTGAATGCATTGTCAGTATAGAATCCTATTTTTAATCACCTGAGAGTAAATGCCATCAAATTTATTATTTAAAAATGTTAAAAATGCCAGCAATATTAGCTGGTGTTTCATTTTAATCTCTATACAATAGTTTGATTGTTGATTTGATACTGTATTGATTTATTTACTACATCTGAGATTGCCTGGAGTGAAAAGTACCATATAAATTTCATAAATAAATGAACAAATGAGAAATCAAGAATCACCTCGGAGGCTCTCTTGCATTTTATGTAAGAATTCAAAATTTACATTTTGTTTAAAAGATGCTACATCTAGATTTCTAAGTAGGTTTCTTATTATTCCAAAGCCACAAAGACCAGCACCTATAATCTTGTTATTCAAAAATCTTTCTTCCTATACTGTTTTCTATTCCCCCGCCCCCATACAAAATATTTTATCACAAGTAATAGAGTTTTAAAGTTCATCAGGTTAGTCATTCTCTTTCAGTTCAACTTATCTCACAGGGGTGGAGAGATATAACACCGGACATAGCAGTGCTTTATTCAGTGTATTCAATTTTTGGGAAAGATGTAAACATAATAAATAAGTAAATGAAATATAAATATTCCATGTTGAATTTGCTGAGGACAAGACAACCAAGGTCAAAGAACAATTACTAAAGAGAGAGAATGAATAACTGGAACTATCATGAGGACAAAGTATTTACAGCATAATAGACTGGTTAAGTCAACATGGGTTCAAAACTGGAAGTAGTAAATGTGTGCTCTACCTTTGTTGCGTGTTTTGTCCTGGTCAGACAGGTGCTCGGTACGTGTTTTGGTGATAAGCTCCACATTGCTGGCACTGTAAACCTGGAGAAGCACAAACTCATTTATATTATTTGATTCCTTCAAAGACTGCTAATTAGAAGTACAGAAGATAAGCTAAATCTTGACATTTATGTTGGATAATTATACAAAGACAGAGAATTGTACCTTGGCTTCGTAACCACTGATTACTTCCATTTTCTCCGAGCGCCAGCCCCAGATGCCAGATTTGTTCCTGAATAGAAAGATATTCCTGAGTCAAGTATGACAATGGCCCAAACTTGCACATGGAATGGATTCCTATTTCAGTCTAAATCTCAAACTCTGTGGTGCTGAAATGATAAATAACTTTTTGTGATCTCCCCACAAGAAATAAAGTTGTTATACTATGTTCTGACAGGATTCCCACTGTCAAACAGACCACCTCTTTTATCTGGAGAAGCTGGTGGTCAGCTTCATTAGGAGAGCAGAAGGGCATTCGGTTAGTACTCCAATTTTTTGTGTGCAACCCCAGACTTGCACATCAAAAACTGAATCACTGTCAGAACTCATGTGCAAGTCATCTGGGGTTCTGGATACAAGTCACCTTAATTGTGCACACAAAGCCAGAGCCCCGTCAGACTATGTTCTTGCTCTGTCTTTGGTACATACCTAGCACAGCTGGATTGTTACCAGGATCTTTGTCACTATTTCACAGTTTTATTCGTGGATAAGGATACATAAAACCTTTCTTTATCTGAACTGCATTTCTTTTCCTGTTTTTAGAGGTAGTTTTTTTGGTGCCTATCTGTGCCCAGAACCTCTGGAGGATCTATGCTACCAGGAGAACTTCTTCTCTGGCATTCTTCTTCATGACATTTGGATAAGGATGGGTCGCTGCCTTCCTTCACAGAAGGGAATGTACTACTCGTCTCCTGGCCAAGTTTTCCAGAACTGCTGAGACATCATTGCTGCTGCATCTCAACTCTGCCCACTTTTCTCAATTCTCTCTCTCACCCTGAACAAGGGCTGTGCAGTGTAAGGAAATTCCAAGTGACATTAGCTTTCTCTTCCACCCTGTTGTTCCCCCTTCCCAATCCAGCCAGGATGGATGCATGGAAGCTGCTGGCAGGAGACAGAACAGGAAAGGCCGTGCTAGAAAACATGTTGAGAGTTCAGCAAGCATGCCTTGTAGATGGCCAATGAAAACATGGAGGTGCCCATGGAGCAGGGAGATGTGGAAGTAGCAAATCCTGAGGTCACCCTTGATAGCATGAGTTCTATCAGTTATACAGTTTTGGTTGTACAAATCTAGACTGCAAACACACAGCTGGATCACTGCCATCCATGCATTACACTGCTTGGATAAGCAGACAGTCAATTCACAACACCAGGGTGAGATCAAGTAACTTAGGAATTATGTGATCCCTAGTTTGAGAATCCCTCACCTAAAAATACCGTGTTTCTCCAACAATATGGCCTCCACCAATAGGAAGCCC